AACCTTGTGCTTGCCAGGCAGGCACTGTGCCGCTGAGCTAAATCCCCAGCCCCAACAATTTTTATTATTATCAGTTTGGGTTTTTTTTGTCTTCTTGAGACAGGGTCTCACTATGCAGTTCAGGCTGGCCTTGAGCTCATTTTGTAGCCTAGGCTGGTATCAAACTTGCAATGATCCTCCTGCCTCAGCCTCCCGGATGCTGGGATTACAGGTGCATGCTACCACGCCCAGTTTATTAGGGGCTTTTTTTGAGACATGGTCTCCCTCTTTATTCCAGGCTGGCCTCAGACTCACTGTGTAGCTTGTCTGTCCTTCAACTCACGGAATGCTCCTGCCTCAGCTTCCTGAGTGTTACGATTACAGGTGTGTGATCAAATTTATGATCCTCCTGTCTCAGCCTCCTAAATACTGTAGCTGGGAGCTGGGTGTGGTGGTGCAGGCCTATTATCCCAGCACTGGGGGGATTGCCACAAATTTGAGCCCAGCCTGAGCTACATAGTGAGTTCAAGGCTGGCTTGAACTATATAGTAAGACCCTGTCTGAAAAAAACAAAACAACAAATACTGTAGCTGGGGTTACAGGTGTGCCTCTCTGCCCAGCTTTTCCACTGCCTTTCTTTTTTTTCCTCTTGTTTACATTGCTAGGAAATTAGTCCAAAGCCATCACAATGAGCTACATCCCCAGTCCTTGTTTTAATTTTGAGACAGAGTCTCCTTAAATTGCCTAGACTGGGCTCAAACTTGTGATCCTCCCACCACAGCCTCCTACAGAGCTGGGATTACAGGTGTGCACTACCATGCCTGGCTAGAACTGTGACTTTTTATTTGCTAAGCGCAAATTTTCATTCATTCATGAACTATTTTCTTGAAATGAGTAATACCTCTAGTTGAGTAAAAATGACAAGAGGCCACTGTTTTGGCCTAAACTCCAGCCCTAGGCTGCAGCAACCTAGCTGGAAACCCAGTGGGGCTGGGTGTGGGGCTCCTTGAAGGTGAGTCCCTGTTTCCCTGGGGACCCTTATCTCATCTTTGGAGAAATCACAATTAGAAAGATTACAGCCAAATTTTCCAAATAGTTTCACTTGAAAAAATAATGAGTTAATCCTTATGCAAAATAAGTAAAGAGAAATAATCAGACTTTGAGCATTATTTGCATTTTCCAATTGTTCTATCTTCCTGCCCCACCTAATAAAGCCACTTTGAAATGACCACCCCAGGTTTGCTATTGTTTCTGCCTTCTTCAGGTTTTCTCTTATCTATAAAACTAAGCTCTTTGCTCAGCTCATTGAAATGCTTATTCTTTTTATGGAATGAAATGTTGCCCAGTTCTAGAATTAAAAATAAAGCCAACGAGATTTTTAAGGCTGGGTATGGTGGCACATGCCTGTAATCCCAGAACTCTGGGAAGCTGAGGCAGGAGGATCACAAATTTGAGACCAGACTAGGCAACTGAATGACTAAGAAAGACCCTATCTCAAGAGTAAAAATTTAAAAGGGAGGTGTAGCTCAGTGCAAAGACTCAGGACTCAATCCTACTTTTATTTTTTTGAGATGGGGTCTTGCTATATAGTTCAGGTTGGCTTTGAACTCTTGGCAATCCTGCCTCAGCCTTCCACAGTACTGGGATTACAGGCCTGTGCCACCATACCTGGCTGCAAACCTTATTACAAAAAAAAAAAAAGTATTAGTTGTAATTTTGTCCTTTATTTTGTGGGGACTGGGGATTTAACACAGGGCCTCACACATGTACACGCCTATTCTTTTTTTTGTACACATTTATTTTATTTTTTATTTTTTGGTCTTTTTGAGACAGGGTCTCGCTATGCAGTTCAAGCTGGCCTTGAGCTCACTTTATAGCCCTGGCTGGTCTTGAACTGGCAACAATCCTCCTGCCTCAGCCTCCTGACTGCTGGGATTACAGGCGTGTGCCACCACACCAGACTACACATTTATTTATTTATTTTGCACCAGGAATCGAACTCGGGACCTGGCACTTGTACCACTGAGCTATATCGCCAGCCTACACATTTACTCTTTTTTTTTTTTGCGGTACCGGGGATCGAACTCACAACCTCACGCTTGCCAGGCAGGCGCTTACGACACTGAGCTATATCCCCAGCCCCACATTTATTCTTAAAAACAATTTTCTGGTAGCGAGGAGGGATGTTTAAACAAAGCGCCCCCTCCCAAGTGTCAAATGTGCCAGCTCCACCCAGGTGACAGTGAGTTTTGGCAGGCAGGCGGTTTGCTTTGTTGGTGGTTGTAGATTCCTCAGCATCTTCAGTAGCACCTGGCTCAGTTCTCCGAGCCAGTGAACGCAGTGAAAGTAGCTCTGTGAGCAAGTGAGGAGCAAGCCAGTGGACAGGCCCAGGCTTCCTCTCCGCCCCGACCCCTGGCCACGTGCTCTGGCCCGGGCTGGCAGGGCTGGAGGTGGGGCAGTTCAAGTGCTGGGAGAAGCCCTGCTTCGCCATCACTTCCCACTGCAAGGTGAAAGAGGGCGAACATACAGACTTAGCAGAAGCCCTTACTTGTGCGAAGCAGACGTCATGCCGCTAAACGCTAAGGTTCTTCACCTGCTGTGACTTCAGAAGTGAGGCTGAATAGTCTCACTATGCAGTTCAGATAGGGCTTGAACTCACTTTGTAGCCCAGGCTGGCCTTGAACTCGCAATGATTCTCCTGCCTCAGCCTCCCGAGTGCTGGAGTTACAGGCATGCGCCACCACGCCCGGCATCTGGCTGATCTTGATTCATGGAGTATTTGTCTCTTTCAACTTTTAGTTTACTATTAAAGCCCGTCTTGGCAAAGCCATTCCTTCACTATCTAATTAAGATGTTTCATATTCATACATTTCCCGCTTTTTTTGTTGTTTTGAACCCAGGGCCTCACACTTGCCGGGCAGGTGCTGTGCCGCTGAGCTATCCGTGGCCCTTTTTTTGGTCTTTTTCGGGGGGTACTGGTAATTGAACTCAGGAACTCATGCTTGCCAGGCAGGCACTGCGTCATTGAGCTACAACCACGGTGGTTTTTTGTTTGTTTGTTTTTGTCTTTTTGAGACAGGGTCTCGCTATGCAGTTCAGGTTGGCCTTGAGCTCACTTTGTAGCCCAAGCTGATCTGAAACTTGCACCGGTCCTCCTGCCTCAGCCTCCTGAGTGCTGGGACTACAGGCATGCGCCAACACACTTGGCTCCCACTGTTTTCAATAATGAGGAATTTATTTCATCACCCTGTTGACTGCTCTTCATTCCCTTCCTACCCCTTCTCTTGGGGCAGCTCATACAGCGCCCTGCAGGAGCCCTCCCTGACCCCAAGCGAGGCCTCCCTTGAGCTTCCCCCGGCTGCCTCTGAGCCCTCAGCCTGGGCTTCCACATCGCGCCTCCCTGTGGCTGTCTGGTGAAGTATCTGTCTCCATGCCTGTGCTGGGATCCCGTCCACCACCTCTTCCAGGCAGCCCCCAGGTGCCCCTCTCAGGTTGGATCAGGACCTGGCTGGACTCCCACCATGCCCTGGTTCTCCAGCTCCTGATTACTCAACTTTAGGCTTTCCTCATTGTAGCTCTAGTCACCTTATAGAGTTGCTCCGGGCCTCGCCCGACAGAGACCAGTCCGGTGTGACCGCCGCTGGGTCCCCAGCATCGCGTTACAGAGCAGGGGCTCAGGGAACGCTGAATGCAGGAAGGAATAAGTCCCTTGCCTTCAAGGAAAGACTAGCGGGCAGAAAGCCACAGGTTTCCAAGAAACATGTCTCCTACCCCGAGGCCCAGCCCACGGCGAAGGCACTGGAACTTCATCTCCAAAGTCCCCTACGAGGTGCCAGGAACTTCACGTCACAACCCGCCTGCGCCTCCACCCGGCCGGATTCTGTCGGGACACAGCAACGCAAGCCCCGCCCCTTCCCGCAGGGGGCGGGCCCAGGTGCGCCGAGGGCGGGGAAGCGGCGTTCAGGTGCCCGCCCTCTGCGCCTGCGTCCTGAGCGCCCCGCCCCACCAGGTGCTCCCCGCCCCCGACTTGAGTGCCACCTTCTAGCTGCTTCCCCGCGTCCGCCATTGGCTCAGGCGCCCCCGGAAGGTTGGGAGGTGTGGTGCGGCTGTGCGGTGGGGGCGAGTCTCGGTGTCGCCTGGGATTGAGGGGTGCGTGAGGAGCGGCCTGAAGCCTCGCGCGGAGAAGGCAGTGTCCGCACCCCAAAGGTCGGAGAAGGGCCTTCCGGGGGCTTGGGCACCGCGCGGACCCTCCAGGGCTGCCTGCACCCGAGCTCGCCGGCCTCCAGCACGCCTGCGCGGCCGGGGTCTTCCCGCACCTGATCGCGAGACCCCAACGGCTGGTGGCTCCCGGCTCCCTAGCCGGGGCGTCCTGGTGGGGGCAGTCATGGCGCAGCTGTGTGGATCGCGGCGCGGCCGGGCGCTTCTCGCTCTGCTGGCGTCGTTGCTCCTCTTCGGGGCCGAGGCCACCGACGGAGATCGACGGATCCACGGTGAGGCCCGGCGGGTGTCCAGAGAGGACTGGATGGCGGAGGCGGGCAGGGCAGGATGTGGGGGTGTCAAGTGGATCTGAGCGAGAGAGTCGCGGGGGCCCACTGGGGACGCTCTGGTGATGGTCAGGGCCTGTGGGAATGGAGCGAGATTTGGGGTCCTTCAGCGTGAAGGGCGGGCGCAGGAGCAGGGTTAGGAATGTTTCCCTAGCGGAGAGAGGAGAGGAGGTGTATTTACCGAGAACGAGCGGCGCTGGCCCTTACGGTGGCGGGAGAGGGGAGAGGAGCTGAACTGCGCACTCTTCCTGGCAGTGGAAAGTTACCTGGCCAAAGAAAGCCCAGCGAGGCCAGGGCTCAGTGGGTGTGGCTTGGTGGCATATTGGGCCTCAGGAGAGAAAGCCCCTTGCCCCTTCGTAGGGTATTGGGCACCAACCCCCGGAGAAACCTTTCCAATTTAGTTGATCTAGAGCAGGAGCCCGAGAAGAAGGGGTTTCTCTGGTGCTCAAAGGAAGGAATAGAAAAGGGATGGAGAAATCCTCCCAGGGTGCAAAAGTGAGCGTGCCTAGGTGTGAAAGTGTTGACATCCAGCATCAGGGGTTGGCTTCGTTTGGGTTGTTTTGTTTGTTGAGATAAGGTCTTGCTATGTAGTTTGTGCTGGCCTTGAACTCACTATGTAGTCTAGGCTGTCCTGGAACTCACGGTGATCCTCCTGCCTCAGCCTCCCTAGTGCTGGGATTACAGGCCTAGGCCACCTCGCCCAGCTGGGGTTGGCTTCTTTAAGAGTTGTTACAACCTTACCTGCTTCAAACAAACACCAGCAGGGTTTGCTACGCTTGATCCTGGACAAATGGCCGAGAAGCGATAAACACCAGCAGGATTTGAAGAGCGCTCCCTTGAAAGAAAACTTCATTGATTCAGCAAACTTAATGAGTCTCTGCTGTGTGTCAGGGACTGTGCTGGTGATAACAGTTGACTCAGACAAGCCAAGTGCCTGCATTCATAGAGCTTATATTCCGGTGGGAGTGGCAGTTAAGTGGACTTTTAAACAAAGAGCACTTGCCACATAATTAAATGACTAAGAGGTAAATGAACTGGGCAAAGTACGGAGCAATGTGATGGACGATGATGGGGTCTGCTTAGCTCAGGTGGTCAGGAGACCTCTCTGGGGAGGGTGATATGAGAACCCTAACATGAAGAATGAGGAGACAGCAGTAATGCAAAGACCATAGGGGACCAGTATCCAGTTGGAGGTAATGGAGTACAAAAGTCTTGAAGCTGAAACAGGCTTAGTGTGTTCTTTTGTCTTTGGTTTTTTTGGTTTTTTGGTTTTTTTCCGGAGCCACCTTTTTGTTTGTTTGTTTGTTTGTTTGTTGTTTTTTTCCGGTACCGGGAATTGAACTCACAACCTTGCACTTGCCAGGCAGGTGCTGTGCCGCTGAGCTAAATTCCCAGCCCCCAGGCTTAGTGTGTCCAAGGAAGACAGAACCCCCCCCAGGGCTGGAGCAGAAAGTGAGGGAAGGGAAAAAATGGGAGATGGGAAAAGTGTGCAGGAGCCAGGTGGCCAAGGGCTTTATAGGCCAGCATATTGGACGAAAAAGCAAAACTGCTGGGCGTGGTGGCACACCCTGTAATTCCAGCACTCAGGAGGCTGAGGCAGGAGGGTCCTTGTGAGTTCGAGACCAGCCTGGGCTACAAAGTGAGCTCAAGGCCAGCCTGAACTGCATAGTGAGACCCTGTCTCAAAAAGACAAAAGAAAGAAAGAGGGGCTGGGGATTTAGCTCAGCGGCAAAGCGCCTGCCTGGCAAGCGCAAGGTGGTGAGTTCAGTTCCCGGTACCAGAGAAAAACCAAAAAAAAAAAAAAGAAAGAAAGAAAAAGCAGGATGTGCCAGGTCATCCCCTGTGGTAACTTCTGGAGAATGGTTAATTGCCCTGTCCCCGAGGCAGGGGACAAAAAGGATGACTTGTTCGGGATGCCTATGGCCAATGGGGAGAGGCTCAGCTCCAGAGAACCTGGAACCAGGACTGCAGGTGTTGAACTGGAATTGGCAGCCCTTCTGTGCTTTTCCTGGTGAAGTCATTTCTGTTCGGATGTATCTCCAGTTGCCTGGCCTCTGACTCTATCGGGTTACAGTTTACTCTGAGCTCAAATGCGTCCTTTAATCTTAGAAACAACCTGGTATAGTGGTGACACCACAGGCCTTGTTAAAGGTCACACTAGAGTAATTGACAAAGCCAGGCCAGACTGCAGAGCCTTCTCTGTTCACAGTGGCCCCCCTGATTCTGCTGCGGCTCACTGGACCTACTGACCTTTCAGAAATACTCCTGGCTGGCCGAGTGAACTACTGCCCTCCCTTATCTGAAGGGCTGTTTGTTTGAAAACTTGAACAGCTTAATATGAGACAGGGGGCACTTTTGATTTTGTTTGCCCCCCCCCCCCAGTGCTTTGCTTTCTTCACAAGGCAGGGTCATCTGCCAAGAGTAAGGTGTTTCTCCTGGCATGCGCAGCTGCGCAGGTGCTGCCTGGTGGGTATGTGAAGAGAGATGGAAGGGAATGTGTACAAGGGAGGGACTCTAAAGAATAGCTGCTCATGGAATTGAATCTTTGTGAGTATGTGAGGGTGCTGAGGGTCAGTGAAAAGGCGGTAGGGCCCACAGGTTGTTGGGGTTGAGGTTCTGGAGGGAATGAAGTAGGAAGGTAGGATATAGCGGGCATTGAGGGGAGGTAAGGAAATTGAGGATCTACAGAGGCTTGTGTTACTGAGACTGGGCACTGGGAGGCCCAGGGAAGTGCCCTGGCGTCAAACCTGCAGAAAAGTGGTGAAAGCTGACCCTGTGCTGGTTGTTTCTAGTGTTCAGCACCAATTCCAGTCTGCAGGGGAAACTGCCCCTCCCAGGAGGCCTCATGCAGCCTTCAGTGACTTGTACTGTGAGGCGTTTTATATATTAAAAAAAAAATTGGTTTGTGGCTTTGTCTGAAGAGTACAAAATCTGGTAGAAGCTGGCTGCTGCCGTTTAACACTCGCGGAGTAGGGCTGAGAGCCTCGTTTGGGTGGGACACCTGCTCCTTCCCCAAGTCAGTGAGCGTTCACATTTTAGTTGCCCGCTTTCTTTCTATAACTGTAGGCCTTTGGGTTGTGGCCCCCCTCAGGAATATGCTCCATTTAGTAAAAGGGGGTGGATAACATCCAAGGGGTCGTCTAAGTTGCGCAGTGCAGTGAGTTTGTGGGTTATCACTGCAGGGAGGGAAATACCCTTTATCAGGAGGCTGCACATATGTGTGATTTTTTTTTTTTTTTCTCCTCCCTCTCTCTCACCAGGAGATAAATCCTGATATTTGGAAGATTCTGAAACACATAATTTTGTTCAACACAAGGCCAGGTAGCTTATTTCATATAGCTCAGTGGCATAGGCACCTGCCTGGCAAGCACAAGGTCCTGAGTTCAATTCCTGGTACCAAAAAAACCCCAAAAAACAAAAAACTTATTTCTTGTTCAGAGTAGAGCCTTGGAAATTCGTTTAGGAGCGGTCAGTTGAGTGTAGTTCCTACTGCCAGTAACACCGGCGCCACTCCCTTCCCCCAATAACTTTTTGCCAGTCCTTGGGCATCAGTGCTTATGTTATGTTTACTGACTAGTTCTTTGTTAATAGTTGGGAATTTCCACTGGAGACAAATCTGACCACATTCATTCCAGGTCCTCCACTGCACTTTGAAACAATCTTCAATTTCCACTAACCTCTTGAGATAATTACTGCTTCCCCATCCCCTTAATTACAAGGCAGACTTTCCAACAAATTTCCAGTTAGCACGTTATTAGCAGTCACTCCTGTGGATGGTTGTGACCTAGGTCAAACATAAGATGACAGTTGAGAGCGCAAGTGCTGCTGGAGTTGGTTGGAGATCAGCTGAGCCTTCTCCAAGGTAGTGAGCATTTCTTGCTCAGCCCTTTCCATCTCAGCCCAGGATAGAGAAAGGACATTCTTCCTCTCACTCTCTGTCCCTTTGTCATTGTACCTGTGGCTCGAGTCATCTCTTGTGTTGAGGTAGTTAGCAAGGCAGCCAAGCCTCTGTTTGCTGGTCAGCAGGAGAGGCCAAATAAGGGATGAGTAATACGTGATTCATTCGGGGAGCAGGGAGGTCCTGCAGGGGTCACACTAAAGTGACTTTATTACCCCCAGGAGGGTTCGGCCTGCCGAGCCCAGGGCTAATGAAGAGTTCAGAGATGACCCAGGAAGCATAGGCGTGTGCATTACAGAAATGTGCGATCCTGATCATGAGTAAGGTTTTACAGGTTGTTGCCAGGTATGGTAGCACATGTCTGCAATCCCACCACTCAGAAGGCTGAGGCAGGAGGATCACCACAAGTTAGAGGCCAGCCTGAACTACAAAGCAAGACCTTGTCTCCAAAAACAAACAACCCAAAAATCCAAGTTGTTTCTGACAAGATATTTTTGAGGACTTCCTATGTTTTTGTTTTTATTCGGTTTGGTTTTGGTTTTTTTGAGATAAGGTTGCACTGTGTAGTGCAGGCTGGCCTCTTACTCGCAAGTCCCCTGCCCCGGGGTCCCAGGTGCTGGGACTACAGATGTACACCACCATGCCCAACAAGAACTTTCTATGAAGGAGTGCTTTAACTTGGTTCCTGAGACTCAGGAATTTGGAGTTTAACTACTTTGTTGTTGGGGTTTTTTTTTTGTTGTTGTTTCTTGGAGGTACCGGGGATCGAACTCAGGACCTTGCGCTTGCCAGGCAGGTGCTTATGCCACTGGGCTATATCCCCAGCCCAAGTTTAACTACTTTGAAGTTTATCTGAAACACATTTTTTATTATTTGAAGCCATTTTCCACCTTTGGTTTTTGGTTTTTTGAGGTGATGCCTTGCTATGTAGTCCAAGCTGGCCTTGAACTCACTATGTAGCCTAGGCTGGTCTCAGACTCACTAGTGATCCTCCTGCCTCAACCTCCTGGGTGCTAGGATTACAGGCATGCACCATTATACCCAGCTT